TGAACCCCTCACAAGATTACACCAAGCCTGTTTAATTCACACCTGACTTAAGACCTGTGACTCTAGTTCTGTGAAATATATAATATACCTCTCCCTGGTGTAAACATTGATATTAAATTTTAATGTAATAACTACTGGTTAAAGTTACGTATAATTTGGTCGAGAAAGGTTCGCGCTTTTGACAGCCGCTTGAGATTAAGGCTCCCGAATGGTCCCGAAACTAGTTGAGCTTTCTCGACCAAATTACTTATAAGTTAAACCGACAATTATTACGTTAAAATATAATGTGTATTTCAGAATCTTTTAACGATAAAAATGATATTATAAGAAAAACGTAGATACGTTATGTACGCATCGAAAATGAAACCTGGAGATGATCCTAAAGTATCACCACCGTGACTTTTGCATACACTTCCGCGCAAATGATCATCATCATCATACCAGGCTTTAACTGTTCACTGCTGAACATAAGCCTCACTCCAGGAGGGTTTGCCAGTACTTACGCTTGGCAGGTGGATTAGCAACCGCAGTTAGGCTTTAGAGATGTTTTAAGAGGGACGCTGCTGCCCATCCCTCAACTGTTGAGTTCACTTAGTCGCCATTTACGACACCCACGGGAGAGGAAGGGGTGGCCTATTCTCTACCGGGACCACACGGGGATATTCTTTATTGCACTTGTAAGAAAAGGATACAGCGATTAGTTTAACAACATGTTAGCAAGGGTGGACTTATCTCTGAAAGAGATCTCTTCCAAATAAGAGAGAAAATGATTAGCGGATAATCTAATACAGGAAAGTTGTGTGTATAAGATAAAAAAGGACATAGCGTGAATACAAAGTAAATAGAATACTAATAAATTAAACATACACAAGTCCTCATTATTTCCCTTTTGTTTGTTCAGTACATTTCTTTCTGTTGTTTTCTGGATCATGTATGGGTTAAATATTTCTATAATTCACTAAAAAATTGAAAGCGTCCATTACTTAAATTAAATTTCTAGAATAGTCCCTTTTTAATGTAAGTTTAGAGGGAAGTCTTTACTTGTATAATATTGTTTACAATGAAACTAATCAATATTAAAAATTATATCACGCCTACTTTAGGATTAGAGCCATAAAACTACGGACTATTAGAATTGGAAGCGTCAAGAGAAACAGACCTTGGCTATGTAGTTTGATAATCCAGGCTTAATAATAATAACGTGAAGATGAATTTAAAGCAAGTACGACAGTTTGTACAATTTTTTTCGTTACATAGTTTTTATCAGCAAAAGTTGGCAACCCTAGCATGTTTCCGCTGGCTCGCTCCGTTTCCGCACAGCAGTGTTTCCGCTGCGTACTCGTGCTGATATTAGTTGACTGTAATTTTGTATCGAATAGCTTACTTTTGCTGTTGACTGGTTCATTAACAACTGCTTGCGTGATACAATACAATATTCTTTTGTTGCAAATTTTGATTAATTTTTTGCACCTATGACCTTTTATAAACTAAAAACTCTTCTGTCTTTTCCAATCACACGATTGTATTACAAATGTTACATCATTTACGATATCAATTGATCTTTTCATTATATTTTTTATTTAATTAAATATCAAATATTTACATAAAATACGTTCAATGTTTACTGAGTTAGTATTAAAGGAAACTCTTTCATATAAAATGTTCTTATTTGTTTAAATTAAAAGTATTTACATTTATGACAGTCTTGTGTTGATTTATTAAAAGCCCATACTGATTTATTAAAATCTAAAATTAAAAAAGAAAATAATTAAATAAATTTTATTGCAATTATTTTTATCAGTATCACGCTTTAAATTTAGTTAATTGTAGTATTACTCATAGAAGTTATTTATTTTATTACATTACAGAAATTTTTAATAGAATTTCTATGAGACCATTCTGAGACCGAATTGAAAACCTCCTGTCTTGAAGTTGATTAAAAATACCAGCTATAGTGACTGGAATTTATGTGTATTAGAAAACGCATCGTCTTTGTTCGTCTCACTATAAGCATGTCAGCCAAAATGAATTATAGATCTGCACAACAGCTGTTTATGATGCGTACCTGTGCCAGTTCCCATGAATGCGACGAGGGAACCCACCCCACACTTGAGATAATTGAATGAGGTTCCAGCTGCCTTGTGGTGCACTTGTTTAGGTAGTTTAAAACTATTTATACAATGAAAAATGGCACGCTATGTTTGTGCGGACATGTGGTTAGAATGTCGATTAAAAGAATGACGCAACAGTTGTGTACTGCCGAATTGAAAGAATATGGATACCGGAGGAGGCCTAGTCTATTAAGATTGGATAATACTGTATTATCTGTGATTATAGTCTATCTGATAATAGCTACTAATAATACTATTTAAATAATGCACAATTTCAGAAACTGACGAGATATGTAATGGGTGGAATTCATATTACATATTAGTTTTTGAGTAAAACATGCATTTTGGGCAGACACGGTGGTATTTCAGTTTCATCACATTTATAGATATATTACCTGTTTCTCGCGGTTTCGCCTTCGTGAATCAATATATAAAGTGCTCTACAGGTATGTATGTATGTCTTTCAAATCCTTTCAGCTGCTTAAATGCGAAAGAGTAACAAACATACATCGTTAAAAACTTTCATATTTGTAAGAGTAACAGTAGATCGAAGCTAGGTTCAAGAATAATAATATGAATATATAATTGAATAATAACAAAATATGATGCAGATACATCGACGAATTATCCTAGTGATCACTTGTTTACTGTATAGACCCCAATATTGCGTATCCCAAATTCTCGAGCGAGGTGATCAAAGAAAACAATCTAAAACCGCAAACAAAACAAATGTTCGCCGTCGACGCATTCAATTAACGCACGTGTTCAAGTGGGAGAGACCGGGAGAAACCAATTATCAGTAGCCCCCTGCTCGCTGACGATCTTCACAACTTCTGCTATTACTAGGGTCACCAAGTGTTCACATTTTTGAGAGACTTCCCCTTTTGTAGCGCCTATACCTACATGTCATCACAAAGAATAAGCTAATATTAAATCCAACAATAATATTTCTTGAAAAGAACAGTTTTCTCTAAGTATTAAACGTTATTTTATAAAGATACAGGTGAAACATAAAATTAATATTGAATCGTTTGTACAAACCGCACAGTCATATAATCTATTTAATTTATTTACTGTGTCGATCCGCCACTAGCTTCACACGGGTAGACAGATACCTAATATAAAATACTAATTTGTTAATAGATAAATTTTTGATACCTTGTTTTAATTTTCGCAAGGATCTCTAATTTTTGGAAAATAATATATAGCCTATGTTATTTGTTAATAATGTAGTTTACTATAGATGACAATTTTTTTTTAAATCAGTTGTGTAGTTTTTACTTCATCCAATTTTTTATATTACAGCAATGCGTAAGTAGTGAATATTGAACTGCAAGAGTTGCATAATAGGCCGTAGTGACCACATACAAATTTCAAAATTTAAGTAATTTAAATGGGATAGTGATTAATTTTTGAAAACTTTGAATCGTTTAACATTTTAAATTTCATAGACTTGTTAAGAAATCTTTTCTCGTTTGTAAATTATTTAATTACGTCATCTATGTCGGAAGTAAGTTTACAGACATATTGTCGAGATTATAATTTCAGTTGATGGAATTATTACATATATTCGCATATGTACCTTTGTAATATTTGGATATTCTATTATTATTATATATAAAACAACTAAAACACAGGTAAAATCTGCAATAGAGTGGTTATAAACATTTGTCGTCTGTTCCGTTATAGTGAACATAACACTTGATATGCTCATTTTTCGCCGAGCATATTACAATCCATCGTTGCCGGAGGCGAGCCTACCGCCCTCACGCGGATTATTATTTTCCAATGTCCTGATATTGCATCTAGTATTTGGTTAACCTCAGTTCTACCGCTGACATTTTATTATGAATTGTCTGCAAGGTGCAATACTCGTAGTGGGTACATTTAATTAAAAATATTATAAGTTTTGATTTGTTTTGTATATCTATTTCGTTCTTACTTTCATATTTCATGACAAATACAATAAAATTATATTTATGTAGAATTAGAAGCCTATATTATATTGCTCATAAAAATTACTAATAAAACCTTTTTAGCTATTACAGTATTTTTGTATTTTTTATATTCTGTTTTTAATTTAAAAGAATTTTTAATGTAAAAGCATTTTGCATTCATAACGAAATAATAAAGAAAAATGTACAATTTAAACTCAATTTAAATAATTAAATGTGTCTTTATAAGAAAACAAATTAAAAGTAAGCTTTTTATGAACGCTTGAGAGCATATTTCTTTTTAAAAGGCCGTCAGCACACCTGCAGTTCCATTGGTGTTGTGGGTGATCTTGGGTGACGGTAGTTACTTACTATTAGATGAGCCGCATGCTCGTTATTTTCATTTAAGAGCCCTCTTGTCGGGTCAACTAATTCATGCATTTACTTCCAGCCAGCTCTATTCCAAGCCACATCTTCGACCTCCCTATACGACATGACACCTAGTGTTTCCTTTATCTGACCCACGAAGTTATTTCTCGGTCTTTCCCTTTCTCTTTTGACGTCATGTGATATAAGATGGTTCAACATTTTGTTTGTATGAGGAAACTAGGCAATAAATATCTTGGCTGCAACTCAGAACATCCAGATCCCAGTTAATTTCGAGCCAATTCAGAAATTTCATCTCTTAAATTGGCCCGACCGGAAATCGAACCCGGGAATTTTTATAACTAATCCAGCGCCACGTAAATTGTCGCGACATAAATAGTTAATAAAAATTTATTCAGTCTGAATAACAAACATTAAAAGGCCAGTAACACACCTGCCATTTCTCTGATGTTGAGAGTGCCTGTGGGCGGCAGTAATCATTTACCATTAGGTGAGCTAGCTCTCTACGTTATAAAAAAAAAAGTATGTATTAAAAAAGCAATAACTTAATCTACTTTTCTTGTTCCAGGTATGCGTACTTCCATCAAAAGGAGATGGCGGCTTCTATAAGAGATCCTGCTAATCAAAGTACTATTTTATATATATTTTTAATCAAAAACTTTCTTAAAATGTTATCATTGCTTTTGAAGAGTATGTTATCTGGAGATATAATAAAAAATGAGTATCTTTATATATGGACGTGGACGATATATATATATATATATATATATATATATATATATATATATATATACGAGGTCTGTCCGGAAAGTTCGTATAAAAGTGTTCTGGAATGCGAGAAAGAGGAGTGGGGAGGCCAGGTAAGCGCAGGACCCCTTCCTTATGTCCCTAACAATGCTTCAGTTCTGGTCTGACCGCCGTGCGGTGCGAACTGGCTTGTCACGCCATCTGTGAAGTTACCTCTTAACGAAACCCCGTCGGCATGGAGCCCGCTTCCGTTGAAGAGCAGCGCGTCGTAATCAAGTTTCTCTCGAAACTCGGCAAGAATGGCCGTGAAAGCAAAGAGTGGAAGACATCCGGGGAACCACGAACAAAAAAATCAAGAAAATCCCGCTCAAATGTCAAGACAATGTTGATTGTTTTTTTCGATGTTCGGGGGATTGTCCATCAAGAATTCGTCCCTCCAGGCCAGACAGTTGATGGAAAATTCTACGTCGATGTGCTCAGACGCCTCAAAGCTCGTGTGGCACGAGTTCGTCCAGAATTGGCGCGAGAGGGGCGTTGGATTCTTCACCACGACAATGCCCCTGCCCACACCTCTCTTGTTGTCCGTGAGTTTTTGAGTAAAAATTCCATTACGGTGACCGAACACCCCCCCGATTCGCCGGATTTGGCCCCGTGTGACTTCTTCTTGTTCCCAAAAACCAAATTGGTACTTCGGGGGCGGCATTTGGGGGACATAAATGAGATAAAAAAAGCTACGACGGGGCAGCTGAGAAACCTACAACCAGAGGACTTTCAAGGAGCCTTCTCACAGTGGAAACGGCGTTGGCACAAGTGCATTATGTCACAGGGGGAGTACTTTGAAGGGGATAAAATTGATTTACCTGAATAATTGTAAAATAAAATTTTTAAAAAACTTTTATACGTACTTTCCGGACAAACCTCGTATATATATATATATATATATATATATACATACATATATATATATATATATATATATATATATATATATATATATACATACATATATATATATATATATATATATATATATATATATATATATATATATATACATATATATATATATATATATATATATATATATATATATATATATATATATACATATATATATATATATATATATATATATATATATATATATATATATATATATACATATATATATCGTCCACGTCCACGTGATATATTTAATTTGTCAATCTTTCTCCATAAGAAAGCAGCAAATTATAATTAAATTAATATAGGAATAATAAAGGAGTAAACCTAATTGATAGCAAAAAGATTTATCAAAATCGGATTTATAAAAAAAAATATAATTTGCGAAGATATCATATAACATAAACACAAAAATATAGACAAATTGAGTACCGCCTGCTTTTTGAAGTTTCTTAAAAATGGCGTGCAACATGCAATCGTATTTGGAAATCGACAGTGATGTATATTCGTATGTGTTTAGTTTACAGCTTTTGCAAAATAGAAAAAGAATCATGAATGATTTATAACGGCGTAGTTTTCATAAACACGTATTTTTGTTTATTTCTTTTTGTCAGGCAATTAAGCCTATGCCATGCACATAGTAATATTATGTAAATCTGAATGCAATTTTTTAATAAAATTATTCATATAAGAAAACGACGTGAATCGAGACTAAATTAATATGGAACTAGCAAAAGAGTAAATTCTACCATGTTTGCAATCAGAATCATCGAAATCGGTATACAGTGGGCTAAAGATATAACTTATTATACACATATTCTCACCCGTAAAACTTAGATAATCTAGTCTCAAAAACGGGTCAAAATTCCTCCTCAGTCAAACGCCACTTTAGCTGACTCAATTTTGGCATATATATTTTTTAAACTAAAATAATTTTCGCCATTTTTGCAGTGTTGTAAGTTATTGTATTAAAAATTTCCCAAATAAAGTTTATAGTTTACATGTTGCTTATAAATTAATATAAATGGCGGTCATTTTTAATGATTTTGAAGATGTAAAGATATGTTAAGTCTTTCATCATCGTTATCATATCATCTATTATCTGTCCACTGCTGAACATAGGCCTCCCCTATAGACTGCAATAAGGAATGGTCCTGAGCCACCTGCATCCACTGACTTTCTGCATTTGAGATCGTCACTCCGTTTAGTGGAGAGTTGTCCTACACTGCGTTTGTCCGTACGTGATGACATAGTGACGTCGCCACACAAGATTTTTTCCCCCATTGGTTGTCGGTTCTTCGACTGTAACTAAAGTAATAAATAAAAATAAGGATTATTATTAAACATTATGTATTGTTTATTTTAAATATAATATGTCTACATTTTTGTAGCGATTATTTTTTTTTATCCTTAGAATATAATTTCTCCCATATACTGAGTAATAAATGTATATTATGGTAACCCTATTTACGTATACATAGAAAATTTACCTGTTTTATCTAAAGCATTTGTAAGGAGTCACTCTGTCTATAGCCATAAAAATAGCTACTAGTATATCCGAATTATATTTAAAAATGGAATCCATTTTCACGTTTGCGTGGTTTCATCTTCCCTTCTCGGCTATCAACTAACCCTTTCATGTTTACTGTCCTATACACGTAGAAGAAGTACCTAATCTTCAAATCAATCCATCCGTCTGTTATTTATTCTTTATCTCTCACTAGTTGTTGTCCGCGGCTTTACAAGCGTGGTGTGGAATTTTTTCTTTAAGAGGAAATTTTCAAAAATATTTTTTTTTTGGATATCTGCATTTTAAAATAAAACTACATTCGAAATTTAAATTTTCTAGACTCAGTAGTTTTGGCCCTGTGTTGATAGCCAATTAGGACAAATGATTTTATATTTTAATCTCGATCATGTATATATACAGCCTTTACTTATTACATGATGGCAAATAAAAATAAAATGTACATAAAATGTAGATTAAGTAAGTAAATTTACTTTTAAATTCAACCAATATGAAAATGTAACAGAAATCTCTTAATAAACCTAAAATATTCTTATGTCTAAAATCCAGAACGAAACAAAGTAATAAGCAGTATCCAGGAAAATAAAAACTCTTGTTCAACTTGACACTGTCACTTTATTGGCAATTTCAAGAAACACTTAACTAGATTTGAGTGTATAAGAATGAAATGACATCTTTAAAACATGAAGTAGAATAAATTTGTTAAAAGAAATATATTTACAATTGTATCACAAGTGGCCATGGGTGATACACCTAATGAAAAGTGGTAATCGTCACCTATAGACATAAATATCACAGAGTACGCCCACAGAAACCCTTATGCCTTGTCATTCTCAAGGATTTAGATATGCCTCTGTGCTATATCCCACTCTTCAAACGACAAAGCAAGCACTTCACCGCAGAACCACAAGTGGGACTCCTGTCCCACTTTGTACAAATTCCTCTAGTATTAGGTCTTTATTACGATATTTACGATGTACTAGCATTTTTAAACTTATAGTATCAACAATCACTAATATCAACCTTATCTTTAAAATCTCAATTTTTTCTTTGTTCCTTTATCACCCATCGTTTACACACCCCAATATTGGGCACGAGTCTCTTCTCATAGGACGATATAAGCTACTGGTACTATCTATATTTCCATCTTTTTCCATCGAAATTCGAAAAGAAAAAGGTTCTCCGTTCAGTTGTGTGTGTGTGTGTGTTTTTTACCCCATAACTGCGTCTGCTCTAAACTGATACAAAAAATATCTTTTTTTTATCTGAAAGGATATATGTACTTACAGATTGGTTCCATAGAAATTTTATCAAAATCGGTTTTAAATCAAAATGCCGGTTTTTTATTTATAGTCGGTTTTTTGTGGCTCACAATTTAATTATGTATTTATGTGAAAAAGTGACAAGCATATGCGTCTCGCCTGACGATAAGCAATCACCACACTCCATAGACACAATACTACAGAAGTTTTGCGTTCTAAAGTAACTGTTGTTAAAAATATCACCTATTTTCATTTAAGGCCTATCTATTGTAAGTCTTTCTCCATCCTTGTACAACCAGGTAGTGTAATAACAAGGCCAATACAATACAACTAGGTATATTGGATATCCGGCGACTCCTACGAATAAACGGGCCAACGGCTGTAAACAGCTGCAATGCTTACAGTGTCTTTTTATTGTTTAAACGTGTTACTGACTTTGGAATTGCGTTCTACAAACAGACATTCATAGACTGGATTGGGTAATAGTGTCTGCAACATTGCTTTTTACTGTTGTGTCATTGTATGCAATGTAATATCCAATTAGAAAATGTGAGGCTCTGAATTTTCTTTTATATATAACGAAGAAATAATCAGGAGCCTTAAATTTTTTTTTTATACAACTTAGAATGGCAAACAAGTTGACGGCCCACCTGATGGAAAGTAATCGTCGCCTATAGACATGAGCAGTACCATGGACATAACAGAGTATACTGTTTCGCCCATGATACCCCCATGCGTTGCCATTCCTGAGGACTCAGGTGTTATTCCTCTGTATCCAGTAAATTCACGCCATATCTCACCCTTCAAACCGAAACACAGCCATGCAAATACAACTGCTTTACGGTTAAAACACGAATGGGACAGAGGTACCCAAGCAATCGACTTTTGTACAAAGTCTCCCTCTGGTGTTGAATGAGAATGTTTTACTAGTAATGTGTTTTGAAATGAGATCATAAAAAAAACGGACTAGTCGTGACAAAATCGTGTTGTGATTTAAATAGTACATTACTGCAGCGGCCAGCAACTAAGGCATTGATGGACGAACGTGCAAATGTGGGCCGAGGCGTAGCCGAGGCACACATACGTGAGTCCTGTAAAGACTGTATTTAATTTTGAAACTTTATATTTTTTATAGTCTAATATGATTATATACCATTCTTAAACTGCGTAAGCTAGCAGCTAATCATATTTTGTTGAACTTAGAATCAATCAGGATATTGTTATGATATATTTAATATAAACGACCTGCCCGAA